CCCCTCCCTGCCTCCCAATTCCCCTCCCTGCTGTGAGGCAGGGGCTCAGACAGAGACATCGTCTGCTGGGCCTGTTTAAAAGGTACATTTGGATCTAATTAAAAAGACACATCGTTCCACTGTGAGCGCCCCCATGTGGCCAAAGAAACTTTCACAACTAGGACTGAGTGAACGGTGACTGTGACTGGAGGAAACACACGCAGACGACTAACACACTTTCCGACCTAGCGGCTATGCTAGAGCTAAAAGACTGGGTTCGAAGGAGCGCCCACCAGTGGCTGGGTGTCGACCGTTCGAATCCCGAATCCGACTATTTTCTTTATTTAAACCGAAACTACAAAAATCACTTTCAAAGTCACATGGAGTCATCACCGACATCAGACAAAAAAGTCACACTCCTCGGATTTAATTTGCACATTTCCCAGAATCCTTCACCTGAACGCTGGAGATGACACTGATACCTGTGTGACCTTCAACACATGCTGCCAACATGTCAGGATCATTTTTTTTCAAACGTCATTCCAGAATCTTTAATAATAGGAAGAACAATATTAATAATAATATTATTACCAACAATATTTTTAAAAAATTGAGATTGATAAAGTTTAGTAAAAGTCGTCACTGAAAAATCAACAAATTGACAGAAAAGTAAGATTTAGCTCAAAGTCAGCTGAAGTTGAGGGACACTCGAGGAGAAATGACCCGGGAAATGACCCAGACTGCCCCCGGGAACATGTTTCACCCCAGGGAGGAAAGAAGAAGAGAAAGAAAGAAAAGGAGTGGAGAGAGGAGGAGATGACGGGAGAAGTTCGTCCATGTGATGTGTAGCACCGCAGAGGAGAACAGCCGACAGTGAGGCGGCGGCGCAGAGATGCTAATGCTCCGAAAAGGATGAAAACAATCAGTTTGACAAAAGGCAGCGAGAGGAGAGAGGCAGCGCGGCCGGGGGAGGCCGACACTCTGTCAGCGGCAGCGCCGGTTGTCAGACGGGTTAATGCTGCCTCACTTCAAGTCCCTCTTAAAGACGTCAGATCACACGGCCAGATTTGCCCGTGGAGGATTTGAGGCAGGCGCCCGCCGGCCGGGGGGGCTGCCTTGGGTGGCTGCTACAAGATCGTGATAAGAGCAGATTTGTTCTAAGAATGCAATGACAGGGCAAGGTTATCGCAAAGCTGCCTCGCCTTCCTACTCCCCGGGAGTGGAGGAGCACAGATGGGAGGAGAAGATGGGAGAAAACATTCTTGAGATTCTTTCTACAAACTCAGTGGCGTGGTGGAAACGTGATCGCGGTCGTCTGCTCCACGCTGTGAAATAGCTCATCTTTCATTTGCAAGATTTCACCGTCAAAGGCGACGTACGATAATTATTGTATTCTTACGATGACCGACCAATAAATCCCTTTAGTACAAGGAGTAGTACAACATGTAGTTGTAAAGTCTTCACAGCCAAGACACGATTAAGTACAAGGAGTAGTACAACATGTAGTAGTAATGCAGTACATATATAATTAGATAAATACCCTGCAGCGTGCTTGTCGTGATCTCCACCAGTGTGTGAATTGTGCGTATTTAGGCTAGTACACAGAGTATATTGTTACTCTCCACGTATTCATACTCAGAGTACTCCAATAAATACATTGTATTTAAATAGAAGGTGAGTGATTTTCGAGAAGTTGTTCCTCCTGTATGCTGATGATGCACCGCTCTATGGCTCATAGTTTCCCCCCCTGAGTATTCACTTGTGTGTAGTATGTCGTTGTACTCGCCGGATCTTTCATTTAAAACTACTCTAACTTTGATTTTCTCTAAAAGTTTACAAAAAGTCAGGTTTTGTTTCCACAGTCATTTCCCATGTGGCTCCTTCATGCTAACGACCTCACTGCCTTCACCTGTTCCCCTCTCCTCACCCGCTGCTCACCCCCTCATTAGGTGCTCCGTACATGGCAGCCTCTCCTCCTCCTCCTCCTCCTCCTCCTCGTTGTCTGCTGTGTTTCAGACTCTGCAGCATTTGCACTTGTGTTTCGTCCAGCTGAGCTGACCTCTGAGTTCCTGCCTGTCGATTTCTGCTTCCTTTTTAAAAAGTTTATTTTAATTTGACCCCTGCTCTGACCTCCTGAATGGATCTGGCTGTGTTTTAAACACAGACCAAAACAAAACTCTCTGTGGTGAACACACGTTGAGTCCAGTTTGGTCGAAAACTTTCTTGAAATTGTGGCGCTTTGGCCCAGAGGCAATGTCTCTGTCGTTGGTGTGGAACCCCGGGGTTCATTTCCTGGGCAAGATCCAATCCCAGTCAGGGCGGTTGGTACCTTCCAGTGGACTCACCACCTGCAGGAAGGTTCAGGGGGGTTGGTACGGTGCAGGGTGATTTGGGTGGTGGTCATGGAGACTGCTGCCCCTGCGACCCGGTAACGGATGAGCGGATGAAAAATGATGAATTGATGGACCCTTGAAATTCAAGCAAGGCCTTGAATGAACTCATTACCGTTAAAGCAGTCTTCTGTGAGTCATGTGACTCAGTCTGATGTCGGTCAAAGTGAGTGGAAAGCGAGGATTTCACGTTGCGACTGAAGACATTCGGGGCTAAAAGTCAAGTGTCTGGATTGAGGAGTTACAGTTCATCAGTGAAGCCTAATCTCCTGAGCCGTTCTGAATGATCTTCCCGTGTCGCCTGTGACGGACCGTCACTGCCTCGTCACACGCGTCCGTCACCATCTGTGACACGTGGCTGTGATGGAGCGAGGCGGGGAGGGGAAAACGAGCCGCAAAGGAAAAAAAGTTCAAAGAGGAATGTCTGGAGTGGTGAGCTGTCGAGGCTTAGGGCTGTCAAAATCCTAATCTGTCTGTCAGGAGTGTGTGGACGCCCGGCTTAAAGTTGGCGGCCGTCGGGCTGATGTGGTTTCGGAGAGCCGCTGTCCGTCACATGATGTTTTCTCTGGCAGACACTTCTGGTCCTCAGCCTCAGCTTTGTTATATATTTTA